GAGTGGAGTGAGTGGAGTGAGTGGAGTGAGTGGAGTGAGTGGAGTGAGTGGAGTGAGTGAGTGAGTGAGTGGGAGGGAAGGAGGGGAGGAGGAGGACGAGGAGGAGGACGAGGAGTCGGGCGGGATGGCAGCCAACAAAACTAGAACCCCACACAGAGATGTGGGGAACAAGGATTACTAGTAGGTTTGCAGGTTTATAACCTATATTACATATGGGTTGTTGCAAGTTAAAGTTGAGGATATACCCGGCAAGTAGGGATATTGGAGCAACAATGAAGTTGTTGACCAGACTTCTCCAGGAACGCATCGGCAATGAGGTGGAAATACAGGTCAGGTGGAATATGACAAATACCTCCGCTGGCATGTCAATTTCTGGATCGCGGATCTTGGAGGGGTCACCCAGTGCCAGAAGACTTGTGAGACCACAGGTTGGCGCTTGTGAGATTTGCAAGTCATGTTGCGGTAAGTTTTAGCACTGGAACAGGCCACAGGGTGGAAACCGGGTTTTTACCCGTAGGCGACCCGTTAAAAAAACCGTAGCCGTAGAAAACCCGTAAAAACCCCATGGACAACACATAAAACCCGTAGGAAAATATGACAGAACGCACTTCATGACCGTACAGTCACTTAAGCACGTAGGCAATGCTATGTACGATGGCCATTTAAGGCCCAAGCCGCATTAGCGAAAGGTCTGCGCACGCGCTTTTCATGGTAGCGGAGCCCTGGCCGTAAAGAGCCGGGGCTCCGCCACCCACGGTCACTACGAGCACCACGAAGAGCCTTTGCTCCACGTCACCCTCTACAAGGAGGAAGAGGACGATCCGATCCAGGGAGAGCCCATCGGTGGCAGCCATTTGGATCCTCGAGCTTCTGCTACTGGCAGGCTTGGCTGGAGGAGTCGGGTCATCGACTGCACAGGAGGTTCAATACTTCCAGGCAAGCTCGGTCCTGCCGGTGGCCTGCAAGGCTCGTGTGAGGAGGATCCACACCTTGGTGGTGGAGACGGAAGAGCACCTGAGCAAGATCAAGTGGATCAAGAGCGAGAAGATCGTGAGAGCATCCATCGTGGTGGCAAGAAGAGAAGACCAGTCGGAGTTGAAGGAAGTGGTCATTGTAGTGCCAGCCAAGTGGAAGTTCGTGGAGCGGATCGAGGCTATGTGAGGCAGAGGCCATTGAAGCTGATCCGCCACGTCAAGAGTGAAAATGGGTTTGAAGCCTGGCAGAGCTTGTTGAAGGAGATGCAGCCGGCTACGAGAGCCAGAGCCCTAGCTCTCTTAAGCCAGCTGTCTCGCATCCAGTTTGCAGAGGGCAAGACAGTGTCCGAACAGCTCCCGCAGTTCGAAGCTCTGGTCTTGGAGTATGAGCGCATCTCAACCCAGAAGTACTCCGATGATGCCAAGGTGGCATCCATCTTGTTGGCACGCCCTTTGCAGATCCGCCAACGCCTACACCTTTGGCTCACAGACACCACCACCTACGAGCAACTCAAGGACAGGATCATCCAGCTCGAGGACGAAGTGGGATTCGACGAATTCCTTGATGCCTCCCACTAGGACCACCGGTGATGAGGCAACCCCAATGGAAGTGGACTACATTGGGAAGGTTGGCAAAGGCAAGAAAGGCCAGAAAGGAAAAGGAAAGGAAGCTAAAGGGAAGGACAAAGGAAAGGAGAAAGGAAAGTTTGGCGGAAAAGATGGCAAGGGTGCTTGGAAAGGAGCAGAGAAAGGGAAGAGCTTCTGGGACAGGAGTTGGGCGAAGAAAGGAAAGCCATCAGAGAAAGGAGGAAAAGGCACTAAGAGTGGTGCCTGCCTGCCACCTCTGTGGCAAAGTTGGACACTTCGCCAAAGAGTGCTGGAAGAGAGTCAACCAGGTGGAGGAGCAACAGAACCCAGGAGGAGCGAGCTCATCATCTACGGGAAATGCCGGGAGCACCACGGCAACAGCCTCAGTGAAGATGGTCAGATTGCAAACACCACCTGATGCTTCATCACTTGAGATCTTCGACCTCACTACACCAAGGCGCGAGCAGAGTGATAGCTTTCTCTGGAGAGTGGGGATGGTGGAAGTGGAGCAGTGCGAGGTGGAAGAGTTCTACGAGGCTGAGGAGTTCGAGTACCATGAATGCTATGAGCCTGCGGTGGAGGTGCCAGGAGACGTGGCTATTGTGGCCATGGACCTGCAGGACAACGAAGAGAAAGAGATGAGTGTAAACATGGTGAGAAGACAAGATCACCATGAGGAAGGAAGTTGCCTGATCACTGTGGACAGTGGGGCAGACATTTCAGTCCTGCCAAAGGACTACGGTGGAGTTGGAGAGCAGCTTGAAGGAGATGGGAGCTTGAGGATGGTGGATGCACAAGGGAAGAAAATCCCATACAGTGGAATGACGAGAGCCAAGAGCAGAATGAAGGACAGAACAGGAAAGGTCATCGAGATCTACGAGGACTTTGTTCTTGGCAGTGTGCAACACCCTATCCTATGTGCAGGAAAGCTGCTGAAGAGAGGATGGTCATTGGGTGAAGTTCAAGGAGAACTGCATCTTCGACATGAGGGACGCTCGGTTGACATTCCTCTAAACACTGAGAGGAACTCCCTGCAGTGTGAGGCAAGGATCTTTGCAGTTCAAACAGGTGAAAGGAGCATCGAGAAGATCTACAAGGCCCGAATGACACTGGTAAAAGGAAAGGATGTTCTATGGGAGCAGCTTGAGAAGAGAGAGGACTTCAACATGCTGGGACCATCAGCATTCAGGAGGATCAGTTTGACAACAGAGCCCCAACGGACTTTGAGCTTCTTTTCGCCGGAACAATTCAAGGACTACTGGGAAGCTGGTAGTGAAGTTCCGGTGGCACCATACCCTTTGACAGAAGGAGCCTTTGGACATTTGGAGTGGTCAGAAGAAGAAGGTGAAGAGCTTGAAGAGTTGGAGGCCCAAGGGATGCATCACGACATCGAGAAAGCGGTGGTGGCAGAACGCCAACATGAAGTGGAGCTAGATGAGGTCACGTTCTCAGAAAGAATGACAGTGAAGGAGCTCCAAATGGCTTGCAAGGAACGACAGTTGGCCCACACAGGAAGCAAAAAGAAGCTGCTGGAGAGGCTAGTGGCTTTCGAGGTGAACCTCGAGACCCAGATGCACCTGGCGGTAGCTCACAAGCTCTACAACGAACAAAGCAGGAGACCGGTGACACTTGGTCAACCAAAGCTACCAAGCTTGGCAGAGCAGGAGCTGCATAATGTGACGCATTGGCCATTTGCATCATGGTGCCAAGCATGTGTAGCAAGTCGCTCAAAGGAGGACAAACATGGGAAGTCAGACAACAAAGAGGACATTGGAAAGAACATCATCCAGATTGACTTCTGCTACGCGTACACTGGCGAAGAAGATCGCTCAGAGAAGCCAGTGCAGGACAAGGTCATGGAAAGGCAAGACCAGCGTGGGACGGTGCTGGTGATGACCAGTTCAGAAACGAAGGCAATCCATGCAGTGCCGGTGCCAAGCAAAGGAAGTGCAAGCCTGAAGACCATCACACCGAGGAGATTGTCAGATTTGCCTTGGAGAACTCTGCTCGCGATGCATGCATCATACAAGCTGATAGTGAACGAGCAACCAGGCAATCCTCAGATCCGTGCAACAGGTCAGAAATGTGTTGGGCATGAAGACAGAGATCCGACTGACCGGAGCCGGACAACATGCATCCAACGGCCAAGTGGAGCGGGCTGTTCAGACGATCAGGAAGATTGCGCTGGTTTGCCGAGGACAAGGCCAGAATCAACATTGAAGGAGATTTTGATATCTATCCATGGTCGTTCAAGCATGCCTCCTTCCTGATCAACCAGTTCCGAGTCCTAGAAGGCACCAACAGGACAAGCTTCGAGTTGGCAACTGGGCATCCTTACAGAGGAAAGCTGGCATTGTTTGGTGAGAGCGTGCTTTTCAAGAGGCCAGTCAGGAACAAAGGCAGTGCAGTCTTCGAGAAAGGCATATGGGTGACAAAGCACCCATGGAATGACAACCATGAGTCAAGGACAATCAGAAGACTGTCGCCTGCAGATAGCTTCAACGGCCCGGAGATCTTCACAGCGAAGGGGCTACCTTGGTGCTATTCTGCACAAGGGATTCTGATGAAGCACGCCGGCAAAGCACAGAGATATCGTCAGCCTACACTCGAGATGGAGGTGAATGAAGAAGAGATGACAGCCATTGCGCAAGATGTGGCAACAGGTGTCGTCAACCGATGACACCAGGTATTACCCTCACTGTGGCTGGACCAGGAGCAAAGGAAGCACCAGGGACACCAACAAAGGCTGCAGTGAAGAGACAGTTGACTGCGGAGGAGAAGAATGAAGGAGAACGAGAGAACAAGAAGGTGGATGCAACTGACTCACCGAGGAAGCAACCAGAGAAGAGGCAGTCTGGAGAGGCAGCAGAGAGTGAGGAGAAGAGGAGCCGACCGGAAGGAGGATCTCTGGAAGAAGGAGACAGGATGATGATTGAGCCAGAAGGATCTCCGAGAATGTCGCCGTCCCACAACAGAGAACACCTGTATCCGCCGCACTATGCAGGAGTCGGGGCAATCGGAGTGGAACCACATGGAGATGAAGATGTGGATATGGAGCTGATGCCAGAAGATGTGATCGAAGAACAGATGATGGCCTACGGAGGAGATGAAGGAGATGATCCCCCAGAGGTCAGTGAAGACGAACTGGAGAGGCTTGACAGTGACGCTCGGAACCTCGAGATCCAGAGGATGTTGGATATGCCTGCAATGGTGGAAGCACAGAAGGCTGAAGTTGAGCAGGAGAATGGCTACATCATCAGTACAAAGATGATAATGTGCTGGAAACACCGTTTGGAGAAGGGTGGACGGTTCCGTCGAGCACGACTTGTAGCCAGACAGTTCAAGAACAGCATAGATCTGGAGGCTACTTTCGCTCCCACATCGATGATGATGTTGCCAAAGATGTTGATGCACTACCTGCTGAACGTGAGGAGCGACTTTGTGGTAGTCACACTAGACATCAAAGATGCTTTCTTGATGGCAGCACAACCAACCACAGAGAAAGCCTACATCCAGATCGATGAGCGCATCTACAAACTGCTCAGATGCCTTCCAGGTCAAAGGACAGCTGCTTCACAATGGTTTGGCCTGTTTGCATCAGCATGCAAGGACTTTGGTATGCAGCAGGATTTGATGCAGCCCACGCTGATGTTGATAAAGGACCTCCTGTACCTCACCGTCCACGTGGATGATGTCTTCATGGTTGGACGAGAAGACAAGGTGAGGGAGTTGATTCAACACTTCAAGGAGGAGAAGAAGTGGAACGTGGAGGAAAAAGGGCCATTCCGACAAGGTGACAAATTCTTCTACTTGAAGAGGCAGTTCAATCTGGGCATGAGGCACTGTGACATCAGGTGCGACAGGAAGCAATATGATAGCTTCGAGAAGGAGGTCGACATCTACTCCAGGTTCTACAGAAAGACCTCCTTGGATGCAAACTTCACGAAGAAAGATGATTCTGCAGAGTTGGAAGGAGCAGAGATCACCAAGTATAGAAGCATCGTGGGGCGGCTCATGTATATGGCTGTTGAACGACCGGATGCACAGTATGCCATTCAGTGCCTAGCACGCCGCATGGCGAAGCCCACAAAGAATGCCCTGAAGAACGCCTGGCACACCTGCTCCTACTTGTTTGGAACAGGTGGATGTGGAGTGAGGCTTGAGGAGAGAAAGAAAGGCCAGTGCGTGATGGACTTCAGAGAGATTGAAGAGGTGGAAGAAGCGCCGAAACACCTGGTGGAAGTGGTCACCGACTCAGACCACGCAGGAAACAAGCACGACCGAAAGTCAACGACATCCATGCAGATCTTCATCGATGGCAACCTCATTGACAGCAAGGCCAGAAGCCAGAAAGCCATCGCTCTCTCATCAGGAGAAAGCGAATTCATGGCATTGGTGGCAGGCTGCTCAGAAGGAATGCTGGTGACCAGCACCAAGGCATCGGCCGAGTCAGGCACATGGACGCTTCAATGCTGTGGATACAGCAGAAAGAGCGGGAGAAAGTCCTGACAGTGGCAGCAATCCCAACAGACCTCAACAGTGCCGACATTGGCACCAAGAACCTACCAAAGAAGAGGTTGAGAGGTCTGCAATACATGCTGCACATGGTCGACGCTGTGGGTGACAGAGTGGGTGAGCAGGAGTTCCTGGAGATTGAGGAGCAGCGCAAGATGAAACAAGGGATGAAGAAATTTGGGGAAAAGCAAAGGTCTACGGATCGGGCTTTTGATGCTGCTAGCTACGATCAACAAAGTGGGAAGCACCCCAACTGAAGAGAAGGAGAATGAGGAGACCAGTTGGGTGTGGATGACAATTTGTGCACCTTGGCGTGCATTGGGGCCTTGAGCCTGACCAGATGGCTCTGGAACTACGTCCATGACTTCATAGATGGCACGAAGGCCTTCATCTGGGAGATCAAGAAGGCCATGGCATGGGTCAAAGGGATTGACCTGAGTTTGAAGGTGGAGAGGGTCGATCAAGAGACCCAAGTGTCAGTTCCAAACGCTCGACTTGAGCGTGAGCTTGAGCAAGCTGCACACGAGCTCTTCTTGAGGGAGACATACATAGAAGAACTCGAGCCGGAGATCGAGAAGATGAAGGAAAGCCTGACCGAGTTCCTTCAAGAAAGAGAGCTGGCAGAGAAGCGAAGTTCGAGACTTGAAGAGCAGCTGCGCAAGCTACGAATAACATCTTCAGGACGAGTTCTGCATTTTGCAGCAAGTTGCCCTTACTTCACGGCTGGGCAACCGATCAGGATTTGTACAGGGTGCTTAAGTGAAGGAGGAGTGACAGAATGCACTTCATGACCGTACAGTCACTTAAGCACGTAGGCAATGCTATGTACGATGGCCATTTAAGGCCCAAGCCGCATTAGCGAAAAGGTCTGCGCACGCGCTTTTCAAAATACGTAGTTTTACGTAGTTTTCCCGTAGTTTCCAACATCCTGGGATGTTGGGTTTTGAGAGGTTTTTGAATGCTCTTGGCCTGATCCGAGCGTTCCTGATCGCAGCCCAAAGGGATGCTTGCTGGGTCGAGGGCTAGCTAAGTCTATAGCTAAGTCCAAGGTAGGCATATTATAAGTTTTTAGTACGAGTAGTGACTTAGCTTGGACTTTGCTAAGGTAGACGTAGCTTGGATTTGGAATAAATCAATTAGGCTGAACTTAGGTTGGGTTTCCCATTATATGTCGGTCCGAGCCAAGTCTCAATCTTGGTCTAAGCGAAGCCTAAGCCAAGTCCCACCTGAGTCTATTGAAAGTTCTTCCAAATCTTATTGGGGAATATGTGTCAGAAAATTGTCTGACAGTTCTTCCCTGTACTTCAGGCTTAAGAGGAATATGTGGCATTGTCAAACACTTTTCTGACAGATTGGCTATAGGACTTAGCTTAGACTTACTTTGGACTCGGCTTGGACTTAGGTCAGGCAAGGGTTGGACTCACTAAGTCCAAGCTAAGTCCAAGTTAGCCTTATGGTGACTTCACTTTGATGTAGCCAAGTCAGACCTAAGCACTCACTATAACCTCCATTTTAGAGTTATACAACCATTTCCAAGCTGAATCACTTCGAACCTTTACCAAGGTTAAGTGACTGACACCAGAGTTACTAGTAATCTACTGTTGCATTACGGACTTATCACCTTTAGGTTATAAGTTCAAGTTAGCCATATGATATTCCCGGATATTTCCGGCATTTGAACAAAGCCTTAATGAAGACCCTTAAAAGGTTGTGATGATTCCCGTGCTGTGTTCGCATGAGCAGTTAGCCACTTCCAATAACTACAGCTACACCGTTTGTTTCCTCCAGCGAATCAATGATGTGTTTGAATACCAAATATGTACATGAATCAAGCTGTGACTGTTGTTTTCTGTGCGGATGATGTGTGGAACGGTGTTGGGAACCAAGGTATCCTACATCCATGTAAAAAACTACAACGGAAATCATTGTCCCAAAACCGGGTTTTTCAATCCACAACCGCAAAAAAACAGGTCGTAAGATAAAACCTTCCTTTTTCATGGTTTTGAGGGCTCATGGTGGGAGGTTCTTTCAACGTGAGGCACGTTGACATGTTGCACTTTTTCAGAAATCAACGGTCCTAGACGAGTCTGTCGCAGTTCATGGGGAGCAACTTCTATGGACGTTTCCCATGATGACGGCGAGAGTTTCTGCAAACGAGACTTCTGATTTCTCGACGGCGTGCAAAGATAGGACATGCAGGTGTCGGTACACTTGGGTCTCATGAGGGTTGGCCCACCCTGATGGTGTTTGACAGGAGAAGATCGAGACTTGCAAAGAGGCTGGTCCGGTATGCTGAGTGGCTAATGCAGTGGTCTTGTCCGAAAGTATGCGTTCGAGTCCCTCTCCAGCGACAGAAGATCAACCAGTGGGTAGTAGTTGAACCAAGGCTGACAACAACGGATAAGCTTGGCCGTGTTAGGGGCCGCGCTAGGTAAGACACATTAAGACACCATCCGCTTCTCAGATGGGTTTTTGAGGAACTGACTTCATCATCTGATGAAGTACCAAGCATTGCGTGGTTTGACAAAGTGATTTTGGGGGACTCTGACTAAGTGACTATGTATATATATATAATTTGCCATGCTCGCCAAGCTCCCACTCTTGGCATCACGAGGCTATACTAGGCTCAGACTCTGTCAGAGAACGGGTGGTGATCACCTGTTGGCTGCACGTCGCCTCCTCGGAAGCCCGGATTTGAGGACAACTGTTGGCATCATCATTCGGCCACCCTCCTTTTGGGCGTGAACGGGAAGGGGCAAGGGGGCAAGGGTATGAATGGGTGGAAGAGGCTTTTTGGGGCATCCACCTTTGACACATCTTTGCAGTCGCAGCAGTCGCAGCGCATTCGCAGGTGGTGTATCCTTACGAGTTGACCGTCTGTGACCGTGATAGCTGGTGGGCACGGCCCAATGGGAGCTGTTTTCGTCTCGGGCACGACCCGAGGGGCGGATGAGACTCCGAAAATCGCAAGCAAACACATGTAAGCCTTTTGTTACTTGTAGCATTCTTGTTTCCAGGAGAAATGCCAGGAGCTACTAGTAGCGTCCTTGCTCCTAGTAGCAGTAGCTTCTTGCTCCTAGTAGTAAGGCCAGGAGCTACCAGTAATAGTAGCGTTCTAGCAAACATATGTAAACATCGAAGAAATCGGTTCAAACAATTATATACTGTATTAGGAGCATTTGCACCGTCCTTTGGCAAGTTGGGATATTCATCGTTCTAGAATCAACTCAATTGATTCTGAACCGCCAAGACATCAATCCGACATGTATCCCCGTGTTGTCACGAGAACCAACATCCAAATCACGCGAATCATGTGGCATGATTTGCATGGCTCTACTCCATCCAAGAAACCATAAGACACCCTAAACACACCCGCCAAACCTTTTTAAATTCCAAGAGGAAGTTGCAAATGGTGACTCCTGACTTGTGCCTCATGAACTGTGTAGATGTCTGCGCCGGCGCCCTGCGGTCCGCCCGCTCAGGTGCTACCTGGCCACGGATCAGCAGAACCAACGATTCGACTTGATTCGTGCCAAGCTTGGGCCCCGGTCTTCGGGCTCGACACACCAACCTCACCGGGATTCGATGTGCATCAGAACGACCTGTCGAGCCGGTTTTTCTCTTTGTTTAGCCCGCTCCGCCCTAGTAGCGATGGCCTCCACCCTACCACCCCAGTGGCGATGGCCTCCAACCTGCTATAGCGATGGCTGTCGCCGGTGTTTTTGGATCCACACATTGTGAATCATTTTCTTTTACGGTATGGTTGAACAAAACAAGATGCCCTCAGGTGGTCGATCTCAACTGGGGCGCTGTGAACAGTTGCTGCTTTTTGCAGGGCTGAACTCCAGCCATACTAACAATAAGCTACTAGTAACAAGTGCATCGCTTCTAGTAACAAGTGCCTTACTAGTAGTAACAAGAAACTAGTAGTTAATTTAGAATTAAATTAAACTTAAATTAATAGCAAACTTTGTTACTACTAGTAAGGCACCTGTTACTACTAGCGTGGCACTTGTTACTACTAGAAACAAGAAGCTGAACTCCAGCCAACAGCGTTCCAAAACGAAACACCACGGAGCCGAAGAACACGTCCGACAGGCCCGCGGCACCTGCCCCGATGTTCCTCGGATGGGGATGGGGACCGACAGGGACCGGGAGGGACGGGAACTGGGCGCCAACTGGACGGTTTGAGTTGGGTTTGAGACATGTTTTGAGTCGGTTTGAGGGTTTCTTTTATCATTTGCTGAAATGTGGCGACATGCCAGCGAAAGTAAAGTGCATTTGGAGCTTTGCGGCATTTTGTTGGACATCACATAGGACAACTCTCAGAAGTGCATGTGAAAAGGGTGTGATGTGGTGTTAATGGCTGCATGGGATGCTATTAGGGTGCAAAAAAAGACGATGTGAACCTGGTGAACCTCTTCTTCATGGGTGTCATCCCCTCGAAGCAACCCTAAAAGTCTTGGATTCGTCCCCACGGACGATGCTCTCGGATGATCTTCGGACGATGTTCGGGGCCCGACAAAAAGCAAAAAACACCTGAGCTTGAGGGGACTGGGTGTGTGTTAGACGGCTTGCGGAGGAGGGGAGGAAGCCTCATTTTCATGCTGTTGAGTCTGCTATTGAGTCTCCAACCTAATAGCAATGGCCTCCAACCTGCTATAGCGATGGCCTCCAACCTACTAGCGATGGCCTCCAACCTGCTATAG